CCCCCTCCTCCCCGTTCCCCTCTCCCCGACCCCGCACTCCTTTCCCCATTCCGGCTCCGTCACCTTCCCGCCCCTCACACTCGGGACGAGAATGCCCTGCCCGGAACAACCCAGCAGCTCCTAGATGGCTTTGGTCACGGTCCAGCGATCGCCTACCCCCAGCACCACCTCCAGCCCCTGCGCCTCGGTGAGTCTCGCCCCGCGGCTGTTCCGCTCGCTTCTGTCACTGCGGCTCCGCTTTGCCTCAACGGGTTTCGGCTTCCTTGGACTGCTGAGCGGTAGTTACTCCTTGGTCTTTTCCCTCCTTCCCTCCCGCAAGAAGCAGGCTGTGGTCTCTGCCTCTTGAACTTCTCCTCTTTTCCTCTATGGAGATCCCCAAAGCATCTGGGGCTGCCGGATGACCGATGCCAATTCCTTTACATCTTGCAGACATTTATGCCTTACACTCACTGCTCACGACCGTTCTTATTCTTGGGTCACGTTTGTATGGCTCGTTAGTTCAGATGCCTATGCCAGTGAGGCATGCTTCCAGCAGGAAAATACCCAGCAACCAGCCTTTTCCTGCTGGGCCCTTCTTTGCCTTCGTTCCTCACCCCACCCCCACGCCTGCACACACTATTCTTTTAGGCTTTATTTTTGAAAATACTTATTTTTTTTTTCAAAATAAAACATTGCATCAGCTGGGGGAAATGGGATCTTTCATTGAAAAGTAATCCAGATGTTTTAGAGGGAAGCAGACCGAATGAAACTATGGGCAATTGGGAAAACCGTCTTGAACGTCCTACAGAACTGTAATTTTTAAAACTGTGCTGGTGGATTTAGTAGTTTCAAGTTGCAAAAAGATAGGCAATAAACACTGTGCCACCTTCCACTGTAAAAAATCGGCTTACTGTTATGTTTATGCATTGACTGGCTTGTAATTTTAACATAGTTTCCTGAATTGCAAAATTTTGTATACAGTGGTGGTTTCTTTCCCCCCCCCCCCCCCTTAAGCTTTCTTTTGCATTTTTGTGTGATCTAATTGACAAATATACCTAATTCTGGAAGTGATTATATTTCAGAGGTTAATTTACCTAGTGTTATTCCAGAGAGCAGAACTAGGATCCTTGGGTAGAAGTTCAGGGAGGCTCATTTCCAATGATTGTAAGCAAGAATTTTGTGACAATGAAGTGGACTGCCTTGCAAAATAGTGAGTGCCCATTGCTGAAAGTATTCAAGCAAAGTCTGGAGGCCTTTTGCAAACTCATTAGTCAACAGAGCCAAATATCAACAGTACAACGATTGAAATTTCTTTTGAGAGCCAAATTTTTAAAACTTGAACTATATAGGTAGGTACATAGTTATTAACTTAATTAGGGTACTCCTAAGGCTTAGGAAGAGCTACACTCAAGGGGCCGAAGAGCCACAGTTTGCCAACCACTGGCCTAGGAGGTGATAGAAAGTATTCCTGGAATGGGGAGACTTCTAAGTCTTTTTCAAAGGTTCTGTGATTTGAAAATAATTGCCCTTCAAAGGTAGACAACAACTTAAGGTCCTCTGAAAACAAGTATCATAGGGATAGAAATTGAATATACAATACTTTATTCTTATATGTGGTACTTTATGCCAGTTTTTGGAAAGTCACTAACATACTATCAGACCATCTTAATTCACTCCACTATTGAACTCTTTGAGGATAGTGGTTGCCAGGATTGATTTTGTTTAAAAAGCAACTGAAGATTAGTAAAATCATGCAAATAAACTAGAAACCAGTATTATAGTGACATAATTTTTCTTGGTCATTGTTGAAAACATTTATGCTATCATAATATATGTACATCAAGTTATACTATTTTTCTTGAGATGAATGATTAGTATACATTAAGACCACATCTATGATTAAATCCATGCCACTTGATATGACTTAATTAGCCAAACTTGGTTATTTTAGAGTCTTTAGGTATGTTAATAGTCACTTTTGACATAAGTAATTAGTCATGTGGTAAGCTCAGTTGCTGAGCTAAATGATATTTCTACATCTACTTGCTATACTAACCTGGTTATTTCAGTTGTTTCTGTGTGGCCCAGGATGTGAAGGAATCCTGGGACTGATGTGCTTGTGTGTGAAACAATCAACATTATTAACATGACTGATGAGCCAATTACCTTTCCCTTTAAATTGTCTTCCCATTTCAGTTCAGCTGAGTCGTCTCTTGGTCCCTGTATTCTAGCCTGTGTTTCAGGATGCTGTCTAAATTGCATATATTTCCTGTTGCACCTTTTGCTCTATGAATAAGTTGAGTTGTTGGTTTTTTTTAAATGAGCAAAAAGAATCTAGAGAGTCATGAAAGGAGAAACTTAATTTTGTAAGGCTGGAAATTTATATTTTTAAATTAATTATAGTAAGCATTTTATTATATGTTTTTACTATAGGAATTTTAAAATTTTAATAGTGTCAGTTTTTCAGTATTCTTTCATTAGGGATTAAACAAATCTATTGATCACCTACTGGGTGTGAATGACTATTATAGATACTAATATTTATGAGAGATATACTTTATCAGGATCATGTAATCAGGGATAGGATGAAGAAAAAAGGCAAGAGGATAGAGGAGAGTGAGGGAAATGATACTGTATGTCCATGAATAGTCAGTTTGTAATGATAAGTATTGTCTGGATTCAGATGAAGATAAATTCACTAGTGGCAAAAGTAATATCAATCTCCAAAACTCTTGTGTCTTTCTCTATGCCAGACATCATGCTAAGTGCTTTACATGGATTGACTGACTCATTTACTCCACAATATGCCCAAGGGAAATTGCTAATATCCCCATCTTACAGATGGAAGAAACGGAGGCAAAGAGCAAATAAGGAATATGCTCAGTGACACTCAGCTGTTGAATCTGTAGTTTAAACCCAGATGTGTCCAACTGGAATCTGCCATCTTTTTCCTTTGTGGTAATCAAAGGGAGTATACAAAATATCTGGCTCTTGAACTAGCCCTTGAAGAATGGGCTGAGTTTCTATAGGTTAAGCTGGAAGCTGGAAAGTAGAGAATATTCCAGGTGGAGAAAAAGCTATATACACCAAGACTTAGAGGCAGAAAAGTACAAGGCATATCTGAAGGCCTTAGGCCCATTTGAAGAAGAATTTGGAAAGAGTAATAGGCAATAAAGGTGAAGAGGCAGCTAGGGCTGCACAGTGACTGCTGGGCTTAGGAGTGTGAACTTGATAGAGAAGATAATGCAACGTCCTCAGGGGGGTTTGGGCAGATATGATCACTGGTGTTTTAAGAAAATCAATCTAGAAGCTGTGGGCTAGAAGAATTGGAGAGAGGGAGAGGCCATGAGTGGATCTAGTTAGAGCAGTGGTTCTCAACCTTGGCTGCACATTAGAATCACCTGGGGATCTTTTTAAAATGCTGATTTCTGGGCCTCATCCTCCAGAAATTCTGTTTCTTTGTTACTAATGTTGTGGCCCCACCCCATAACAAAGAAACAGAATTTCCGGAGGATGAGGCCCAGAAATCATGATTTTAAAAAGATTCCCAGGTGATTCTAATGTGCAGCCAAGGTTGAGAACCACTGAGAGGATGTTACAGTAGCCCAGGTGTGAGATTATAAAGACCTGAATTGGGAATGTGAAGTGATAATGGAAAGAAAGGGGCAGATTTGAAGGATTGTGGAAAAGACACAGAGGACCTGGGGATTGATTGGGTATAGGGAAGGAGGAGTCAGAGATGCCAGCTCTAGGAATATATTGTTATTCCAAGGTCATAAGTGTGTCAGGATGAAGGGGGATTGAAATGGATTCTGAGCATCATTGGGAAGATGCAGTGCCACTTGCTGTTCTAGTGAGTATCACAGTTTCTCTAAATCAGTGGTTCTCAACCTTCCTAATACCGCGACCCTTTAATACAGTTCCTCATGTTGTGGTGACACCCAACCATAAAATTATTTTCGTTGCTACTTCATAACTGTAATGTTGCTACTATTGTGAATCGTGATATAAATATCTGATATGCAGGATATATTTAGGCGACCCCTGTGAAAGGGTCGTTCGACCTCTAAAGGGGTTGCGATCCACAGGTTGAGAGCGCTGCCATACAGACACAGTGAACTGCTACAAAAATCTTTTAGTCTTCTGTAGTGTTTTATATTTCTCAGAATGTTTTTGTGATCATGATCTAAAGCTTTGTAAAGCAGCCTTGTAAGTTATGCAAGACAGGTTACCAAGGTTAAAAGACTTGCTGAGGGTTATAAAACTGGTTGGTGTAAGAACCTGAACTAGAACTAAGTCCCTTGGCTCTTGGTCACATCTCTTTCCATGGTGTGATAAGAGAAACAGCATTAGTTTCTGGTCCCGAGAACTTGACTGCCAGTATAGTAAAGGAACCAAGACTTGAGATACAATCAAGAATCACACTCTCTTTGGAGTTCATTTATATTGTAATCTTGAATACCTAAACTCTTCGCAGATCATTTTTAGGTAATCCCTTTATTTAAAGCCTTGGACATTTAATGTCCTTACTCTCAGAAGATTATAAAATAGGAATGAGAAGTGGCACTGCTGCTAAAGACAGGCTCCTTATAGTTCTGGGAAATGATAACTGTGATGGTTTTACAGCAAGGGAGGAGGAAGAAAACCTGTAGATAGCTGTCCTAAGGAAAAAACAAAGCAGTTACGGAGTACTTAATGTAAGGCCAACTACCCACCTAACATTCAGTATTCCCTCAGAGCTAATATTATATGGTCATATTGATGATCCTGAATATCATAAGAAGGTTTAATCTTGTCTTGTCTTGATTTAAGCAATCAAGATTGAGTAAAGTATATTTTTAGATAGATGTTCATCTAAGTTTCACCAAAGTTTGATGTTTAAAATATACATTTTAATTAATTGGGAAATTTATTTACTATATATCTTATTTCCTGTTTATGATGGATAAATAAGATATTGTTGAATTATATATTTCAAATATGACCCACACCTCTCTCCCTAAGCAGAGAAAATAAAATCATAGCAAATATGAAATATGTGGAATATAATGAACAACATAAACTGATGAACAAAAATAGAACCAGAGTCACAGAAACATCGAATAGACTGTCCAACCTATGAGGGAGGGTGGGGGGTTGTGGGGGGAGTAAGGGGGTAAGAGATCAACGAAAGGACTTGTATGCATGCATATGAGCATAACCAATGGA